AAAACACAAAAAAAAAGTCACGAGATGCTTTAATATCTGTCTATTATCATTCTCCATATCAAAAATTTTACCTGTAATACCATTTAAACACATCGTCTGTTAGGCTAACGCACTTCATCGATCAATTAGTGTATGCATGAGAGCGAGAATGTATTTAAATTACAGTTGTACTTTATATTAATCTGTTTTTTCGAAATTTCGTTACAGGCAAATAAATACTTTTTAATATTCAAAGTTCGGATATTTCGCTTGACCAATAGCAAACTTTTAATTTTTTCCGTATCTGAACATTTTTTCTGATCAACATTGTATAGTCAATAATACTTATCAGAAATTCATAAATCATCTCATAATCATAGATATGAATAAATTGGTTCGATTGATCGTATAGAAGAGATGCATTGTTATTGAACAAAATCATATCGTTATTGCTTACCCTTTTGCGGGACAAACGAGACAAACGGGATTTTTCGGGATAATTCGAAAAAATTCGGGACGGAACAAACGGGATTCGGGAAATAGAAAAGGTTGTCCCACAGGTCTCGAGGTATATGTTTAAATGGTTGCGAGAGCGATGGAAAAGTGCAGAGAAGCGTTTTTGGCAAGCTGGAAACCGATTATGTTGCTAGCTCTACAACGGCTCCATGAGCATTAAAAAAAGCAGCATAATATATAATTAGAGTATAAAGTTATAAAAAGAACTCTCGTCTTATAAAGTATTTCCCTTTCTAAGTTATGAATTCTATATTGGAGATAGATTGTGCACATTTTTACTCTGCTGCACCTCACGCGATCGCGAGGGAGCTTTGAATGTTGATGTGCTTTCAGCGAGATGTATTTAAATAGGCGTTTTTAAGGCTATCACTGTTGTTGGGACTGATATTAACGTATGGAGGGTGATATTCCTCACTAGCAGTTGATCTGTTGTGAATATAGAAAGCTCTTCCAAAGATGACATTGGCGAATTACTGACTTTCTCAAGCCAGAAGCGATTGACATTTCAACGAATAAAAATTTTTCGCTGAAATTCCTACTCCACAAATCGAGTCCTATTTTCGTGTCATGAATGATAAAAGCGATAAATAGATGCATAAGCAGACTGCCTGCTGCCATTTTACTAATTATAAAGCTAGACTGTGCTGATCGAAGTCAGTACATCCAGCGGACAAATCAATAATGTTCTACAAAAGAATGAAAGAGATTGGAAATTGTAGTGTGTGCTCGCTAAATGGCCTGAGAGAGATATTGAATTTGAAGTTGCTTTCTCGCAATGAAAAAAGAACCAAAATTGCTCTCCTTGAATTTTTAATTCTGATATTCAACTGATTGGTGGTATGTTTTGGTTTCTGGCATCGATAGACGATTTTTCTTTATTTACTGTTACTTGATGCGAAATTTCAAATATTTTAATGCATGTGGAGGCAATATTGATGCTTATAGCGCAACATAAATAATATGCTAAGAATATAAAGGATACGAAAGATTTACGGAGAGTATAGTGGATAACAGTGGTCATGGAGAATATAGTGAATATGCTCAGAAGGCACAGAACATTGTAGAAATACTGAGGATACGCAACATACAAAGAGGATACAGAGGATAGTGCGACACGTCTTTTCGCTTAGGCCATGGACTATTCCTTTAATTTTGTTCTTTCACATGCATGTGAGCAGGTCATTTCTCATATCTACTTGGTCTCGTATCATATGTTTAACGGCATCGAATCCTTTCAGTAGAGGGTTAGCAACAGTTACGTCGCGTTACTTGCATACAATTCGATGCGTATTCATCTCCTCTTTCGAACGATGAGAACCGTAGTTCCATATCTTGTTCGTATCGAAAGTTATCCAACATAGTATTCCACTGAATAGGCACTAGTATTACCAGTTATATATCATAGTAAAACAAGTCTTATTGAAAGTTTATTATTATGATATTAGTTGAAGTATGATCAAATAGCATAGAGAAATTGAGCATTCTTTTCTCTATCAGACTATTCAGAAAGAAAGCTTCTTAAACTTTTTTTTTGTAAAGAATGAAAGTACCTTCGTTACTATTTTTGGTATGATCTAAGTATAATAGAGACTATAGGATGTAATCTGACGAAAACGAAATGATTCTAGCTGATCTACTTTTTGAAATATAAACAAAAGAATTTAAAATTATCTACTAATGCCCGTTTAGTGATAAACGACAAGCTGCCATTTTCTGAATGATTTTCCCTGAGTACAAGGTATGGACTTGCTGTTTTCACCATTCGAAAGAATGATGTTTGGGTCATCGATCTCTGTAAAGAACTTATTAAGATGAAAGATGCTTTTTTACAGGTTTTTTTAAATAAACACTTTTTTCTTTGCATATTTTCATCAATTTTTCTATAATATCCCTCAACGTCTTATTCTAAGCCGATCTACAAAAACACATAGTAATTTTATCGTGAAAAACAGAGATTGAAGTCACATTTTCACATCGTTTGAGTTATGATTGTTGTTATAATTGATAAAAATATGTGAAGAAAAAAAAAGTGTTTACCCAAAAGCATCTATAGAAAAGCATCTTTCATTAATAATCAATTCTAAACAGATCGATGACCCAAATATTTGTTCTTTCGAATGGTAAAAAGTGCAGGGCTCTATCTTGTACTCAGCGAAAGTTATTCAGAAAATGGCAAGCTGCCTTTTATTTTGCAACGGACATCAGTTATAAATGTGACTTGTATAACTAGAATCATCAAACATAGTTTTTGCTGTATGTAATTTGATAGAATACAAATAAGCGCCTTTATTTGAAAGATGAAAATCAAATCATAATAATGAATCATAAAGGTTTTCTCTGTAATTTCTTAAAAAATCTTGCTCAATATTATATACTTTATTGAACATATTTTCTTATTTATTTTTATTTTCTCGAAACTTCTAACGCTATAGATTTTTTATTTTTTCATAATATCATATTTCTAATTTTATTTACTAATTTTTATCAATCAGTTCACAGTAACAATGTAGATATTCCATCGAAAATCATTCCGAAAAATAAAGATAATGAAACACAAAAAATCTTTTAATATTATTGTACGTATGATTACTTTCGACATACATCGTTCTGATGATGATGATGGTGATGAAAATAACGAACAAGAAAAGTTGATCGATAAAAACTTGTCAATGACAAACAAATCAAAAGTTTTTCTTGTCATCAAATGAAGATTCTGATCGTTTCAACGATGAACAGATACAACAATTAAATAAAAATACTCGACTTTTACTTTTGCCATTAATGATTCGAATGCTTTTAGAACAAATCGCTGAGCATGCAAATACTATTGAGAAATCTAATATTTCACAAATATCCTATCAGGTTAAAATACAATTCTTTAATATTAAATATTTAATTAATTTATTTTTGTAAAGATTAAACAAACTATTGGAAAATAAACTATCATTTTTATAAAAATTTCAAAGAATTAATAAATACCATTTGTAATGGTATTAAAATTGAGCAGGTTACGATTGTTATATTCCTGATAATGAGCTTTATCATCTTTTTAACCACTACATTTTTGTAAGATCTTTTCAACTCGATTTATGCAAAATTAAAGTATTAATTTATCTACTTTTTCTTTGTTTTTGTTTAGGATTCTTAGTCGTTTACGAGATACTCGTAAAAATTTTAATGTAGTTCGGTTTACTTCATCATCTGTCAACAAGAAAAGCAATCATGAAGAAGCTATAAAACTACTCTCTTAAATTAGTTTTATTCTTTGAAATTGTTTTTTTATATCGAAATATTATTTTCCTATATAGAGTAGTCGTCAATGGTCCCGCTACCAGACAGACTTTATTTTGACGTAAGACTTTTGATTTCATATTTTGACCACAAATAGAGAGCAATGAATCCTAATTACAAGCAGCAATCATGACTGGATCAATCTTCATATCAATGAGCTAGAATTCAACAATAGGCCAGAGCTACGTCTATAATCGATAAAATTTTTCATCTCAAATGATTGTTATCTGTCTAACTTATCAAATGTTTACCTTGACATTGCCTCGAGTGAGTTATCGTTCCTATTAAAGTATTCTCTGAGATTACAGCAGATTAAAATCTCCTATTCATGACACAATTAAGGCATGTGGAGCTATATGTGTTAATAAAACAATGGATATTGACGCTTCAAAATAATGATGAATCAGAAAAGTGTTTAAAAAGTCATTTTTGAGCTCCACGGAAAACAACAGTGCTTTTATTCTAAATTCAATGCATTAAGGTCAATTGATCTCGGATTGATAGTTGCAATCAGAGTTTATGAAGCGCTGTTGGTAGTAGAATATCAGTCAAAAATATTCAAATTTAGGCACTTTTTACCTGGTAGTAGGTGTTTTGGAGACAACTTTATGCATATTACTGAATCATTATGTGTTTCTCTTTATTTATCGAATAAATATTTCTAACCAAAATCTAAAATAAATGTCAATCTTAATCAAGTTGTTATCCGAAGCGTCTCCCATTCTTTACCGTAGTACTACATACAAAAGTACGACTCAATATAAATAGAGCAGGCATGAGATTCAAATATGACTGCTCTTGCTCATGTCAACCAAATTAGTATCTAAACAGTTATAATGTTCCTAGTTAAATGTATTACAGTGCAAAATATCTTGAACTTATTCATATTATTAAAAAGTTCCTTCAAGTTGCACACTGACCAAAATTTTTGCTACATGTGAAACCTGAACGTAAAAAAATTGTTGCCAATCATTTATGTATAGTATTTAGAGAACGATTTGTATTGTATTCTGCGGAAAATTATATCATAAAATGGATTCTTATAGATGAATCATTTCGTCTATAAAGAGCGACCTCTAGTCATTTTGTAGTCTATGGTAAACTATAGCTTGTCCAACTTCATTGAAAGAGGAGAGGAAGAGACTCCATTGTTCATTTACAACACATATAATGATATCATCTTACTTGTGTAATATTCTAACCTATATTTTCTAATGGCATCAAGTTTAAATATATCGTCGTTTAAAAATTTATCATTATGTGTTTACATTGGTAATACAAGTTCACTTGATGATAAAACATTATTAACTTATTGTTCACGTTTTGGCACAATTGTTTCATCATTATTGGAAAAAGAAAAATTTTGTGATTTCCATCTTATTGAATATGCTAATTATGGACAATTAGACAGATTTCGTAATGAAAAAATTCATGATATTGATAACACATTACTTGATGTAAAATTATATAAAACTATATTAACTAATAATCCTATATTAAGTATTGATCGTAAATTTTTTATTGGGCCAATATTAAATTCAAATGATATACACACAATTGTAGAATTTTATAAAAAAATTGATTCAGCATTACACTATTGTGTATCAAAACAAGAAAAACAAGCATACTTATTATTTGAATTAAATAATCGACAATCTGTTACAACAATATTTGAAAAACAGACAATACCAATAACAGTTGAACATAGAAATTTTTCTATTTATAAACCAGTACATCCAAAACAATTTGTAAATAAAATAGTATCCATGAAAAATAAACAAAATCAAATACATATTTATGGATTAACAGATAATATCACTGAAACAATATTATTGTATGTAAGATAAAGAAACTAAAAACAGAAGTTTTCTTTTAAATATCTATTCATTTATTTTAGTGATTATTTTCATAAACGTGCACCGGTTATTGCTTGTCTTATTCTTTTAAATGATCCAAAATGTGCTGTTATTGAATTTAATGATAAAAGAACTGTCAGAAAAATTCTTGATACACCCAATATACGTTTACAAGGAACGAATCTTTTAATAAGAAAAGCATCTCGTCATCTTGCTTCATTATTATCTTCTTCTAATGATAAGGATGAAAGTGACGATGATGATGAGTATGATTATGATACTGAAGTAAAATCAATAATTGTATCAAAAACATCAGTACCCGAACCTATAGCTAATCCGTCCTTAGTGCCAAAACAATCGCCTCTATTCATGTTACTATCAACTCTTCAAGAAAATATTCAACAACAATCAACATCATTTGCACACCCTCTACCAGTGTCTACTGTTAATGAATCAATATTTATTCCTGCTCCAGAGTAAGTTTTACTGATCTTGTTTTTGTTAAGGAATAGAAGAACTTCAATTTCAAATGAACAATTAAATACGCAAAACTATCAAGCATGGTCGACTATACATGACACTACAATAAAAAAACAAAAAGAAATATCTCCGCATCGGTTCAATTGAATAAGTTCTTTTTTTTCATACGCATACAGTAAGTAAATAATACTATTAAGTACTATTGTTGGTATGGAGAAAGCAATTTAATCTATTGTCAAATAAGAAAAATACATATGACGCGTTTTATAGATAATTTTTGTTCATTGTCATTTGAGAGAATAGTAAGAAGAAATCAAATCGAATTTTATGAATGATGCTATAGTAACCCATAGAGAATAAATTTTCAATATTAGTTAGTTTAAAAGTCAACAATTATAAAATTTTAGATTTTCAAACACGGAGCACTATTTTTTTTGCAAAACCTTTGTTGCCCAAAAGGTTGTAATGGTCGAGCTGGACTAGTATCTACTTTCTCGAGCACGAGTAAAAGTACAGCGAAAGTTGCACTTGAGAACAAAAATTTTGAATACGATTAATGGGAAACATGTGTTCAACGATTTACTAGTATTAATTGTCCAATATCAATGAATGAACTTTTAGATAAGATCGAGGTTAAAAGAAGTTAGCTGTCCGCTTCAAACTCGAAGCGTAGAAATAGATATCTAGTACCACTTTCATGTAACACATTTTACCTAAACGGATGAAAGCAGATAAGATCACTTTTCAACTCTCAAAAGATTTTAGCTTTTCTGTGACCAAAACAATCTAGTGGTGTTATCTGATTAAATTGCAAAGTTTTATTTCACAACAGTGCTCGATCAATTGTTCGCGTCAGATTCGTACTTCTTTGGGAGGCCAAGAGAAACGTGGCCTTCCTTCTAAGAAGAATGGGTGTAACGTAATTCATTGATCGAAAGCCATTCCGAAATAAACCTGTCACAGTGGTACTATGAGTCACCTCTAATATGATTTCAATGCAACAAGCCTGAAATATTTTTGAAGTGCGAAAACGACCTTAACAGTCCACAACTTAGAGAGTGCTTGACACTTGTATACGTGTACGAGTACTTCAAGTATTTTGCCTAGCTTTGTGCAATGCTGCATTTGCCTTATGGAGCACGAATTTCAGAATTTCAATTGACTCGTTATGAAAACTTGCCCTGTTTGCATCAATGCAGTATTATTCATCAAGTTTGTTTTTGATTTCTTCTTATTCTCTTAAGATAGAAGGTCTTCAAGTGATTCGCGCTGTTCTCAATAATATGTTCTCCATATATTGGAGATATTATCCTAAGACGGTTCGAATTGATGGGGCTTCTTTCGAAAGTTATGATCAATTTACTGATCTTCTGCTAAGCATAAGGTATATCCAGAAAAATCGAACAACAGAATTTCAGTTCGAAATTTTGTTCATATGTAGTTCTTGTGGCCATTGAAACGCTCTAAATATTTTAGTGGAACAAAAAATGTTTTCTTTTGAAGATATCAATTCTTAAAAACTTGTCTATAANGGTTTATTTGGTGGTGCTGGTGTAGGTAAAACTGTCTTGGTCATGGAATTAATTTATAACGTTGCCACATCACATGGTGGTTATTCGGTATTTGCTGGTGTTGGTGAACGTACACGTGAAGGAAATGATTTATATCATGAAATGATAACAACTAAAGTTATTGATCTTAAAGGTAAAGGTTCGAAAGTATCACTTGTCTATGGACAAATGAATGAACCACCCGGTGCTCGTGCTCGTGTTGCTTTAACGGGTTTGACAGTTGCTGAAAATTTTCGTGATAAAGAAGGAAAAGATGTACTTCTTTTCATTGATAATATCTTTCGTTTTACACAAGCTGGTTCAGAAGTATGAAATCTTTTCTTTTCTTGTCTTCTATTCAAATTAATATTGTTTTGTTTTTAGGTATCAGCTTTATTGGGTCGTATTCCATCAGCTGTCGGTTATCAACCAACATTAGCTACTGATATGGGTACTATGCAAGAACGCATTACAACAACGAAAAAAGGTTCAATTACATCTGTACAAGTATGTTGAAAGAGAGTGAAAACAAAAAAGAATCTTTTACGTTTAAAACAAAAAAAAAAATTATTTTTTCTAGGCTATTTATGTACCTGCAGATGATTTAACTGATCCAGCTCCAGCTACAACATTTGCCCATTTGGATGCAACAACTGTATTATCACGTGGTATTGCTGAATTAGGTATCTATCCAGCTGTCGATCCATTAGATTCAACATCACGTATTCTTGATCCAAATATTGTCGGTGAAGAACATTATTCAGTTGCACGTAGTATTCAAAAAACACTCCAAGTAAAAAAAAAAAATGCGAAGAAAACAAAACATCATCATCATACAAAATTTTTTGTTCTTCGTCTAGGATTATAAATCATTACAAGATATTATTGCTATTTTGGGTATGGATGAATTATCTGATGATGATAAATTAACTGTAGCACGTGCACGTAAAATTCAACGTTTTCTATCGCAACCTTTTCAGGTCAGTTGATAAAAGTGTTTAATATATAAGATCGAATCTATGTTAAGGCTTACTATTAAAATGCACTTTTGTGTAGTGTTTTATGATTTATTTATATTTAAGACACATAGGAAAAAGTGCGATAATAATAGTTATCTAGATCAACACTAATAGATATTCGATCCCTCTTATGGGCGATTGTCAGCATCGTTGTTTACATTTTTTTTTATTTTACAGGTCGCTGAAGTATTTACTGGTACACCAGGTAAATTAGTACCACTCAAAGAAACAATCAAAGGATTCAAAATGGTATTGAACGGTAAGAAATTAGTTTTCTTTTTTTCTTATTCGATTAATCAATTTTATTATTTCTTTTTTCTTTTATAGGTGAATTAGATCATTTGCCCGAAGGAGCGTTCTATATGGTCGGTGGTATTGAAGATGTATCAGCTCGTGCTGAAAAACTTGCTGCAGAACGTTAAGAAATTTAATTCTATGAACGATAATGAACCGGCCGACAGTGTTCTTAGTATATAACTTTTCTGTCGTTTTCTTTTGTCTTCTAGAAAAGTTTCTTCTTTTTTTTTCTCGAGTGTTTCTCATTCTAAATACCTCTATAGATTATGATTAGAGAGTCAAATATAAAATACGTTTCTACCATCACTTTTTCTTGTCCAACTTGATCTTTTTTTTTCTTTTTCTTTTATGTTGATGCCTAGATATGAGAGAGAGAGAAAAAAAGACTATTGCTCCCATTTGTTTTTTTTCTTTCTCAAATAAACAACAGAATCAATTCGTGCTTTACATGCACTAATTCAATTTTGTTTTTAAAATTGAATACATGTTAATATTTCGATGGTTTCTTGAGATTGTTTTTCTTTTCTTATTTTCGAATTCGATTCTGAAAATCTCGATAACTATTTTAACAATTAAAAATAATTAATCATTATCAAAGAAAGATACAGCAAAACTTTTAAACTCTTAAATAATGTCTATTATGAAACATCTTCTACATGAACGTAGTGGGGAACTTTTTAGAAAAGTGTTCAATATTTAGAGATATTCATCAATGGTAAATATTATATACAGTGAGTGCGAAAATTATTCAACAAAATTTATTATCAATTTGCTTTTTGCTGTCGAAAGCGTTAGACAAAATTTAAAGAGTGACTCGAATAGAGGAAACATTTTGGCTAAGATGTGTCGTAATTTGATTGAACGTCAAAAAATGTTTTTTTTTTTCTATAGGAAATTTGAAAAAAAACCGCAAGTTTAGGCACTTTCGTATAATTGCTGTATCTCAGCTGAAAACGTTATAAAGAACTCGAAGAAGTCTCATTTTGCAGAAAATTCTTTGCTCTATGATTTGATGTAGTTTAAACAAAATTATATTTATCCGTTCTAGGTTATGAAAAATTAGCCTTTTGTTTTTCTGAAATTTCCGTTTTTAAGAACCTGATAATAAATTTTATTTCCTTATATTTATTGTGAAAATAATTTTCTCTATTCGAATCACTACTGAGCTTCTTTCTCGCGTTTGCGACAGCAACGAAAATTATAAAAAAAGCCTTGGTAATTAATTTTTGTACTCACTATATATGACAGTTGCGTTTAGAATTTAATTAAGATTTCAATAAGGTTTTGAAATTCTGTAATCAAAGATATCATGAGCATTTCAACAACAAAAAAATTGTTTATTGTTAATATGATTTAATTATAGTTTGAGGTTTACTTGACAATAGAGATATATTTAGATTGCTATTCTATATCTATATATAAACAATAATAAGTTGATTATTGAGGTGGAAAAATCTTACGATGATCTTTTTGACAATTGGATGTCGTAAGACTCATGCAGTATGATGTCACGAAATCTTACAAAAGTCTTATGAGATCAGAAGTTTAAATCTCACTTTTACAATTACTTCTGATAACGATAGTTTTGGGCATTTAAATAAATATTTAAGTAATTAAATACTTTCTGATCTGAACGCTACCTTTTTTTTGGTATCGAAAATATACCTTCTATGTAATGGTGCTAATATTCTAAAAACTCACTTCACCGATAATATTTTAAATTTTTTTAAATAGTAGTGAGTCTTCTCTTGTTTAAATTTTTTATTTTGTTTTATTGTCGGTTATTTTAACGATCAAATTCAATATTTTTTTCTGTTTTTTAAGCACCTATTTGTGTTTTCATTTTGTTGTTGGAATTTTTAAAAATAAATATACATATGCGAGCAAACATATGAGACATTCTTAAGAAAATAAGATGATAGAAGCTGAAAATAGAAAACAATCAGGTATGTAATATTGTGCAAAATCCTAGAAAATCATTGATGAATCGTAAAAGACCTGACACTAAGATCATACAAGAATCGTACAGCATTATTGTATCAGAGATGTTAGCTTTTAAGATTGACATATAAAATCCTACAAAATCATATACAAAGTTCATACGAGATTATATAATCATGAAAGACAATACAGTAAAATTCTATATGATCTTGTAAAAAATCTTACCAGATCTAATAATAGAATTATTTGACCTAGGTATATTTATTTAATAAAATATGTGTCTCAATGATATATTTTTTTATTCCTGCGACATAGAGACATTGAATGATTGATAAAAATTTTTGAACAAATGCTTTTTAGACCGAGATTTAGCTCGCAAATAAACTTTTTTATGTTTTACCCGATTTCAATCAAAATTTCAGAGTATTAGTCTTGACTAAAATACATTACGAGTAAAATATCTCCTAAAATCTCCAACATACTCATGACTTATATTTAATTCATCGGTCAAAACCACTCTTTGTTTAGGAACGATTTTCAAAATGAGAATATGAGCTAACATGTCGGTATGGTTTTAAACTTGCAGAATACACTTGGCGCTAGGTCTTAATAGAGCCCAATATCTGAATTTGACTTTGTTTCTTTATTTTTAAAAAAACTTCGAAAAATTCTCAAATTCATCCGCGAAAAAATCGTTAATTAAAATCAAACATGTTAGCTTTTTATTTCACCAAAAAAGAAATTCAAAAATTAGACTTTTTTACGAGTTGACCGTGACTGTACGTTATGTGATAAGAAATAATTACCACTTTTCTATTAAGTCATTATTAAGAATAGTTTCCTCGCGTAAATGCTATGCTCGAAAAAATTGACATTAAGAAAAACGAAGAGCAATATGTTTTTTATTTAGTAAGTGTCTCTATTCAAAATAAGTCTGTTTATGTTACTTAATATTTTTACACTACTTAGTCGAGCTCTATTAGATGGTGTATATGTGGATATATCATAATGCCCTTAGAAGTAAACATTATGCCAAGTTTATAGTCGTGGTTTCTTACACGTGCATGTGGAATGGTGTTTGGATATGACTGTGGATGTGGGTATGGGTGTAGGCGTGCCTGCGGATCAGGAAAAGGTCTCTATATGCTATTCACAGTCCACACTCACATCCCCAAATATGTGTAACCAATTCAACATCATCGAAACTTATATGATATTGACTTTCGTGTAATAAGGCTATAAAAATGTCCAGACAATTCAAGTTCCTATTCATCAACTAGGTGATCTTTCGAACGATCTCATCAAAAAAAAAAAATCTTGATTTCTTCTTTTGACAAAAAAATTATGGCAACTCACAGCCATTGAAAAGACTATCAGAATATGTACAAATCTTGAAATCAAGTTTCTCTCGGAAAATCGAATTTTTTGAAAGGGAGGAAGTGATTTAAATTATTTATTCAGACAAGCGGCGAATATGTACGGGTAGTTTTATTTTTTAAAGAAAGGTGAATTGCATTATATATGTGTCTTATAATTATGATATTAGAACAGAGCGAATGGTTGTAATTATTGATGAAATTGAAAGATAAATTTCTTATCTAAATGCAACAATCGATGCTATATGATACACAATCATGTTTGGTGTTTTGGATCAGATTTTTTGATAACATAGTAAAACATCCAGTGAAAATATTGAAAATTTTTATTTATGATGTTTGATGTGACTCGATTTCGTGAAATCTTATCTAAATCAATGAGTTCATCTTTTTTATAAAGCTGATATCCATATATTATGAATTGCTTTCTAAAAGAACTTTTTGAATTTAATTCACGTATTCCAAACATAACAAAATTCTCATGTCAACTGTGACATTGGATACCAAAACTTAGTCAAATATTTAAGTTTTCAGCTAGTTCATGTTGTGATGAATCATAACTATCGTTGTAATCATTAATTAAGTGAATTTTTTCATCTAATGTACTATGATATTGTGATACTATTGCTTCTCTTGATATGTATAATTATACAAATAATGAAAAGTAGTTTTAGTCTATTAGTTAAAAATGATGAAGAGGAGGCGAAGAACAAGAAGTGCACGCGTTCACTTAAAAAGAGGTTAAAATAGCAATCGAAATCGTAAAAAAAAATATTTATGTTGAAAGTAAGGAGGTGTCCACTAATGGAAATTTCACACGTATGCTATTCTCTCAATATCGTGCTTATAATAACATAGATGAGAAAAAGTAAATTTTGCAAGCTATATTTCATATAACAACGAATTCTGTATGTATGATAAATGACTTTGCTGAAATTTTTCAATTACGTATATCTTGGAAAATTGTTATATATTTTGAGCAAGTCAAATACTCTGTAAATGGTAGTAAATAATCAACATACATTAGTTTTATCATCATCTGTAAATTATTATCTATAACTATTTTGACGAATGAATAACAATAAATTTACGAAATCACTAATAAATTGCCTTAAACAATGACGATAGTATAGATGGAGTCGTTGACATCCCATTTTTAGATTCTTCCATCAGGATGACCTTGTCATCACATTGAAACATTCCTGAATCAAATGATATGGTTATAGCTTCGTAGAATTTATCATTTGTTTCCTTTTATGATATTACGTCGTATGTTTGGTATTTAGAGCATTCGTGTGCTAATGTCGATGCAAGGCTTACAGGTATTCAGTTAACAATTGAATAAGTCGAACACTTAAGTCGCTAGCAATTTTTGGTCTTCAGTACTTGAAAGAGAAGGTATGGGAACAGCGTTTTCTTCGACAATACGTAGAACAAAATTATTTTGAACCAAATGATTTTCGCAAAACATTCTAATCTGTTATCACAACGAAATTTTGATTTTGACATGTGTTTCAGATAGATTCTCACTCCCGAATAGTAAACAAATAAAATTGTGTATCTGTCCGATTCGAGTAATAGTATTGATTTTGTTGATTATTACGCAAACTTTCTTAGTTGCTATCCAAATTTCATTAGAATGACAAATATTTTTTGAATGTTTTACGAAAACCGTTGGCTTCAGAATGATCTAATCCTATATATGATTCGATAAAAAGATATCCCCATGTCTTCACTTTTCCATTACTGAAAACTGCAGATCACTAGCTACTTTCATTCTTAATTTATTCAATCTCTAGCCGAATACC